TGTTCCACTTAGCTGTAGTTTGCTAAAGGATGGCTATTGTTCTGCTCCTCCCTTCAGTGTGGGTGAAGACTCGTCTCCATGTATTAAGTTGAAATAAACTGTAGCAACGAGAAGGTGCGAGTGGTTCTTCCAATACTCAGTGAGAACTTTCTTAGGGTTGTTTACAAAAGCTCCCAAACAACAAAGCAGGAATGTTTATTTATATTTTTATTATAAAGAATGCGATTATCCCGCAGTAGCGGAAATAACAATTATGCAGAAGTATCAAACTATGTAATGAAAGTAGATGTAGTGAACAAGCGTTGGAGCTAGAAATGTGTGCAGCTTTTCACCAATTAAAAGTTTTAGGACGTTTCTAACATCCTTGATTTTTACATTGGTGGATATCTGGGACTACTTTAAACCGCTTATTATAAAACGTCTCTCTAACATTTCGATTAAACAAATTGTTGGAAAAACCGAAATAAACCGAATTTCAGGTACGCATGCAACCGGTAACCGAAACCGTAAAAATTAAAACCGTAAAAAAACGAAACGAAACCAGTATCAACAGGAAGTGGTAACCGTAACCGTAACCGATCCGTTTTATTTTTCGGTTTGAGTTCCTGTAGGCCTAGACTTCGAAGGCTAAGGTCACAGGTACAGCTGCGCCTAGATCTTACACCTTGGAGACGGAAAGTGGAACAACTCTACGGCGGAAATGTCAGCATCTTCTGGCAACATCGGAAACAATCAATCGCGACTCATCAGCTGACAGTGATGTCAGTGACTTCGAAGACGCCGCAGCGGAAATGCAACTTCATCCAAGGGCTCAACGAAGAGCCAACAAAACTACTCCTGAGCAGACAACTTCTCAAACTGTTCAAGGAACACCAAACGCGGCCTACCAGCGCCTAGAAGATCTACGCTAGCTACGGTTGCACCCAAGCGCTTGCGGTACGGGCAGCATTTCGAACAAATTGTTTAGCATGGTATCCCCATGGTCGTTTGTTAACTTAGGTTATTTGATATATTTCTTACTAAAGAAAGGGGGATGTATAATGCCGATATCGCACCGCATGCCAATCTTATCATGCTGCTTATGCTATGTCGTCTATACCACTGAGTCATGCCGTCGGTACCGTCCCCCCCCTCCTCTCCTCCCCCCCCCCCCCCCCCCCCCCCTGTTTTCGGCTATATAAACGACGCCAAAGAGACTTCGGTTATTCTTGCATTCACCAAGCCAGCAGCGTCGGACTGACTTTCTCAGCCGAGTGCCGGCTGATACAATTACAGGAACACTAAAAACGAAACCGGTCACGAGCTATTTTATGCGTGCAAGCATGTGCAGTGTGCGCGTGAACGTAGCTTTGGCAAGCTTGCAATTGCACCTACTTGCCCACACGAGCAGAGACGAGGCGGCGGCCGGATGCCGTGCTTGTGTTCGTCTATTAGCGGCGAGATGTTTCGGTGGCGCCCTCGTTCGGTTGCTTTTTTGACGTCATTACCTTGTGAACTACCAGTTTGATGGTGTTTGTAATGGGCATGGTGGGAGCCTGAAATCATAGCGCTGTCAAAGCTACGCCGCCAACACCATCAAAATTGAAGTTCTTACTTTTCTCTTATTTTTATTGATGAGACATCCTTTGCTGACGTCATAGTCAGCATTCGGCCGGTAAGAGGTATTCACTAGACGCCATATTTGAGGGCGATGTTTAGAGCGCATGCTCAGAACAAGCCCACATTAATAGCCTGCTAAGACCGGCAACCTTGATGGTGCTAAATGCACGCTCCAAAAGGACTGCGGAAGCTCGCCGTCAGCACGCGCTCAGCAGCAGCGCACACGGATATGGCCGCCAGTGAATACTCCCTATTGTGGTGGGCCGAAGACAGCGACGCTTTCGGTCGCTCACGTCGCCAATACTCCGTTCACCCTTAGGCTGAAACTGCAGCCTATGCTGCAAGCACGAGAGCACAGGACCTGCGCTTTGAAACGTTGATCCGAAGAACGAGCGCTCGCGCAAGAAAGACACGTCTCAAATCTAGGAGCGCAGTCTAGCTCGCGCTTGTAGCTTTGGCTGCAGTCTCAGCTTAATTGCGAACGGAGTATAGAAGGATAAACAGAGAAAATTGACACAGAAAACCTCCAAGCACGTGTAGCATGCACACAAATATACCTTTGGCAGGCTTGCGACCTCTCGTGCCGGTGAAGTAGGCACAAGCCTGCACGAGCGATTGCAAGCCTGCCAAATGTACTGTCGCGTGCACGCTGCAACGGTGTCGGTTGTTTCTGTGTCTTGCTTTATACACGTTTGCAAGAAAGGCTCCTGCGCACTGCCATTTTGAGCGATGCTGGCGCCCCGTACCGTTTCCCCCATGCGGGGGTGCGCCAGGGGCACGTCACTGGGGTGCGCGATGACAAGATGGTGCCGTTTTCTGCATCGCCAATGGATTACGTTAGCGGCACACTTACTGTCTCGGAACGCAGGAGGAGGTATCCACACAGAATCGTAGCGTCACATATTGTGACGCTACGATTCTTTCAGGGTCGGAGCTGACTTTATAACGATCGCAGCCTCTGTTCCTGCATGTTGTGGAAGCCAGAGCTGCCGCGAGCGCAGCCATCGTTGATGCAAAGGCCATGCGACTTTTGGCGCATTCTGAAGAGAGCGCCTTGAGACTTTAGACCTTTTTGAAAATTTTCGATTTGTTACCGCTTTAGGCATTTTATTTAATTGTCCTTGCTGTTTCGCTGCCGAAGACGACACGTGTACGTTTTATAATTATTTTTTAAAATTTCTTTCTGCGCTCAGTGGTGTACGCTTCGGCGGGAGACGCTTGGCAACATTGTACGACAACCAGCGAACGTCCTGGCTGGAGAGTAGGTCCGCCTCACCTTGGCGCGCGGTTCGAGGTTAAGCCGGGATCCCACTTGCAAAGGTGTATACTCTGTTCATCCTTAAGCTAAGACTGCAGCCAAAGCTAAGAGCGCGAGCTAGCCCGCGCTCCAGACTTTGAGACGTGCATTTCTAGCGCGAGTTCTCGTTCTGCGGAAGAACCCTTCGAAGCAGCGACCTCAAGCTTTCGTGCTAGTGACCAGGGTGTCGAACCGAAATGTTTTTCGTTCCGGCTTTCGTTCCGGTTTAGGGCAAACGGTTCAGCTCCGGTTCAACTCCGGAGTGAAAAAATAAATGTTCAAACCGGTTCGAACCGGTTCGTACTCATACGCTACAAAAACAATTGAGACAGCAAAAGATAAACTATGCATATTTTATAAAACCGTTAGATATGAAAAAGCAAAATCTCACATTACTGTGCGGAACGAACGAGTTAGTGTTGGGGCGCCTCGGGACGTGGGTCAAAGCGCAGTTCAATGTCAGGCAGCTGACCGGAGAAGCAAAACGTCGTCAAGCATATCCGGGGAAAGACGGTACCTCTGAGACGATAAAATGAACTTCAGTGCAGAAAAGACTCGCTCCACACGGACCTGTGTCGCGGGCACACCCAGGGCTACTTGCGCCAATGCGCAGATTTCTGGATGCGTATGGCGCTCCCGTCTCTCCTCCCAAAACTGCAACACGTTAGCGTCCCTTGAATGCCGCGGCTCTCTGTCTAGCATGGAAAACATATCGGTTCTGGTCCAGAGCGAAAAATATTATTTCGTTCCGGTTCAACTCCGGTTCGAGCGAAAATAACGTTTTTTTCCGGTTTTCGGTTCACGGTTCGGGTTCGGTTCAATACCCTGCTAGTGCAATTGGCTGCAGTCGGATGATGCAACCATTTTTTAACTTTGGGCAAATACTGCTTAGAAAGGATCCTTAGCGTTATGACCTGTGAAACACTCGATCGTTTTTTACAACACGCAATCGAAGTCGCAGAAAAAATTAAAGAATAACGAGCAGCGTTCACCCCCTCATCTCGCAGCCCGAACAAGGGGTCACGTGATCTGGAGCCGATTATATGCCGCCAATGTTGATTATAGCCACGCGCTGGCGTTGGCAAGCCACGGAACATGCGCTCAGTTCCAGATATTTTTATGGTTCGGCTGTTGTCGGCCATTGCAGCGATTGGACACGGGCCAGTACCCGAATGCGGCTCGAGCCATCGATTATCACGAGCCCAAATCGAGCACCCACGCAATGATCGGGTCCAGTCTATATTAAAGTCTATATGAGCCGCATACAAATATCGCCACTGGGAGGTATTGCGACCACCCACTTACGTTATCATGTTTTGCCAAGGAGAGATTGAACGAAAACGCTCGCTTTTGTGCTTGAAATTACACTGCAACAAAGGAGTTCCTCCGCCAGTGGCGTTGTGTGCGAGTATCCTTGGCTCCCACTAGGGTGCCTGAATGACCTTCTGTTTAGGGTGACGCCACCCTTTCTAGTACCCGATGCCGACAGCACGCGCTCACAAGGAAAATACAAAGCAATCGACGAAAACAAAATGTCGCCATAGCACAGTCAGCGCCACAAACGCGTGCAGGGACACGGTCCTTCACGCGCTTCTGAACAGAAAATAAAAATAAACTTGTGGGACAAAATGGCGAGATGCCACCACCCTAAGCAAAGCGCACATGAAGGCACCCTAGGTCCCACTACTGCCAGTAAGCTCGTGTAAAGGGAAAAACATTCCAATTGAATATTGATGCACTATCCCTTTCAGGCTGACCTGAGTATGGTGGGATTCCGCACTATGAAATGACACTGAAGGCGACACCTTTTATTACTGACTCTTTCGTTAGTTTTTGTGATCACAAGTTGAAGAGACAGGAGTACGCAGTGCCACTAACAGTACAAAAACAAAAAGGAGTAGTGCTAACCTTCATGTATCACTTTCGTTCAGTGCGGGAGACATGTTGGACACGAATCCTACGACAGTGTTCGGATCGAACTGTTCTCTAATAAGTAAAAACAGGATACCCTGCCGAACACGGACGCAGCTCTTGACTAATCCGCGTCCAGCGTTGGTCATGAGTTGAAGACCAAGATAATTCGGAACGACGGCTGTCCATTTAGATGGTGCTGGCGATACCCGCTTATTCGCTCTTTCTCGCGTGAGTGGAAATGTGGTGGCGCCAGTGTGCAAATAACCCCCAAGCAGTTCCGGTTCTGAACTAGACGGCGGATTTCGAAGTACTGGCGAAATCAAATGTACAGGCTATCTCCTGGAAATGGCCACTTCTAGCTCTGTCAGACTAAATTCACTCCAATGATAAAAGAATGATGAATAAAATTGGGAAATATACACGTTTGCAAGAAAGGCTCCTGTGCGCTGCCATTTTGAGCGATGCTGGCGCCCCGTACCGTTTCCGCCATGCTGGGGTGCGCCAGGGGCACGTCATTGGGGTGCGCGATGACAAGATGGTGCCGTTTGCTGCATCGCCGATGGCTAACGTTAGCGGCACACTTACTGTCTCGGAACGCAGGAGGAGGTATCCACACAGTATCGTAGCATCACATATTGTAGGACTGGACATCTTTAAGGGTTGGAGCTGACTTTATAACGATCGCACCCTCTGTCCCTGCATGTTGTAGAAGCCAGAGCTGCCGCGAGCGCAGCCATCGTTGATGCAAAGGCCATGCGACTTGTAGCGCATTCTGTAGAGCGCCTTGAGACTTTAGATATTTTTTGAAATTTTTTGATTTGTTACCGGTTAGGCATTCTATTTAATTGTCCGTGCTCTTTCACGGTCAAAGACGACACGTATACGTTTTATAATTATTTTTTTTAATTTATTTCTGCGCTCAGTGGTGTACGCTTCGGCGAGAGACGCTTGGCAACATTGTACGACAACCAGCAAACGTCCTGGCTGGAGGGTAGGTCCGCCTCACCTTGGCGCGCGGCTCGAGGTTACGCCAGGATCCCACTTGCAAAGGTGTATACGTGAACTGGAAGTGTGGCGGGGCTACCCAATAGATGGCACCACGGAGTTTGACGCCAAATTAAAGGAGTTAAATGCATTGCAGCTTTGACTCATTTCCCAATACGGTTCACGTGCAGGTACAACGTGGTTTTCCTGGTGCTGACGTACGTGGTGCCTGTAGCCACCATGGCGGTCACCTACACGCGTATGAGCGTCGTCCTGTGGGGCAGTCGCTGCATCGGAGAGTTCACCGAGCACCAGCAGAACGCCCTAAGGAGCAAACAAAAGGTCAGCGAGTTTTATGTTGGGCTTGAGATTAAACGCCAGAAACATACATCTTTCGCGGCGTCAAAGTTGTATTATGGTCTATTCCCGAAGCCGTTTTAGCTTATCTTGTTGCGGAAGGCTACAAAGCTCTAACCCCATATCGCTATGTCTTCTTTTTTTTTACAGCGGAGCTGGTAAAGGGACACTGACAGGGTATTTATGCTCTCCAAGGTTTTTAGTTGTACGTGACATATGAGAGCCCAACTACCCAGAACAGAATTTGCGGCTCGAAATTCGGTTTCTTTCCGCCCGAAAACCGCCGATCGAGAACAGCCGGTTTGAGTCGCGCTCACTCTGTTCTCCGTGGTCACGGGCCATTTTCTAAGCTTTCGACGCGACCACCAAATATAATCAAAGTCGTGGGTCAATGAAGGCACACAGTCAATATTAAAAATTGAAAAAAAAATTATGAAACCCACTTTTTTGTGACTTCCAAAAAACTGCAAATACGTTAAGGTACCACAAACAACCGGAAGCATTCTCTGCGTTTACAGCATTTTTCTCAACATTTCGCCGTTTCGCGTATCGTGGGTCTAGCGGATAGCAGTGGACGACGGGCGTTGGACTTCTACTTTAGAACTGTCGTTCACGGGACCGGCGAATTCTGTCTTTTTTCGAAAGAGAAATTTTGGACCGATCAAAAGAACTGATATTTACCCGTACGACACGCCCAACCAGCAAGCCGATTGCACGAAGACGTCGCCGAGTCGTCGTCCCTTCTTGTGGCTGAAGACATCGCTCGCTCAAACGTCAAGCACGAAGTGCGTACTTCAAGTTGAATACGCAGGCGTACGGTTTCTTTACGAGGTGCGAATGTGGCCTATCCGTGGTGCTGCCCGACTTCAAAACAGGAGTGAATTTTTTGAAGGGAAATCGGCAGCAAACTTCCGACATACAGTCTCCCGGCTGCATTACTACACATGAAAGAGTTCCTCCAGCAGCTCAGTGGAAAGACGTCCGCTTCACAGGCAGAGGGCACGGGCTCGATCCGTGGTGCATGTGCACTTTTTTCCTTATTTTTTTTTGACAAGCATTTTACGATGTTTACATTTCTTTTTTTACAATTATCACTGAAAAAAAAAACGATTGTTTTGGACGATACGTCGCTGATCTAGATGGAATAGGATTCCATTTTTGACACCTGCGAACTCAATGTCGTCACTTTCCACAAAATGCAAGGGTAGCGTCCGCTTTCGGGGCTTCGCGTGATGGTTCTACAGGAATTGCAGCCAGCCATTGATCCCGACCCGTTGAACTTTCAGAAACTTGTACAGACTCTGCCGCACAATGCCACTTTCAGATGCAGGACGTGTGAGGCAGCTCTTCACGCAACATCTTGGGAGTATTCTTTTCGGAGCCGATCACGGGAATTCACCACGGGCACTCACTACTAATTGCCAACACTTAAATGGACAAAACAACTCATCTTAAAGGGGCCATGAAACGAATTTTGGGTTGGGATGAATGATTTTAAATTGGGACTTTGCTAATCGCATATCGTTTAGTTGGCCAAAAGAAAGAGGCTAGAAAGTCAAAAGCCAGCTTTTCGGAACGAACATTTGAAAATATAGCGGACTATTTTGTACCTTCTTGCCTTCGAAAGCTCTCCGCCTTTTCACTGTGATACATCCGCGGTTCCAAAAGCGCGTCACCGGCGCCAAACTGACGTCAGCAGAGCCCAGCTCACGCACTGGACACGAGAGCCGCGTCACTCGGACGTATGCGCTCGTCAACAATCAATCCGTCGACGAATATTCGGATTCGCGTTCGTGGCCAATGAGTGCCCTGACGGAACTTATCGTAACTGGGGAATGACAAGCTCTATGGTGTGCATAAAAAGCACCGTGGAAGCTAGGAGTCATCGCACCGGTGCCGAAGGAATGTCGCGATTACGTGATTTCACAATTCGCATTTGAGTTGAGGGTTAAAGCTAAGGGGGAAGAAGTAGGAAAATCGTTTCATGACCCCTTTAAAGTACAGAACAGCGAGCGGAACAAACATAACTGCAAAGGAATCGCACGGCGAACGAACGCAATGCGTCTACTACGTGTGGAAAAAACAAAAAACCGCACGGTTGGGTGTAGTTACGTGACTTCCGCCACACACTCTATCCTCTCCACTTCTCCTAGGGGGTGCGGGAGTTTCGGTTTCAATTTCAAGCAGTTACGTTTTTTGGCTTTACTAAAAAAATGCGTAATTCTGTAGCAAATCATTAATTGGGTAGTATTCCGACATCATAACAAATCGCGTGACAAAAAAGGGGAAAACATTGGGGGTTTCAGTAGTCCTTTAAGGGTTAGGTTCCCCAGGTCGACACAAACCTACCTGGACAGATACCGCCATCTATGAGCAACGGCGGCAAGCACACAACCAGTATGGTTTCCACCGATGCTCGTAGATGGCGCCAACCTTTTCAGGCTCCCGCTACCATAGAAGAATGGATAGTTGGGCGCGTTGTTGGAAATTCATCGTAGGAAACAGCGCAAAAAACAAAAGACTACGTAGAAGAAGGACACAGTGTATCGAGTACAGTTCCGCTGGTCTTCCTTCTTCACGAGAGTGGAAAGGCTGATCGATTTCTTTTCTTATATCCTACATAATACACTAATTGAAATATTTATGTAACACTATATCTCTCGTTTTCCCTCAAGAACGTATAAACTGTAAATTAGCTTAGGACAACTGGCAGCCCGTAGAACGAATGCTCTTGCAGCACAGCCAAAACTCGGGTGCCCGAGGATACGCTCGGGCGACTTGAGCGCCGATTGAAGCTGCAGCCGCTTATTCTTTGTTTCTTTACCATAAGCCGCCTCCTCGGTAGCTCCGAGGCCAAGCGGTGGCCTAAGGCTCCCCAGGTGGCGGGCCCTAATATCAGCCTGGGCGCCCGCATTCCGACGTCGGCGTATTGCGGAGAAGGCTCCGTGTAATCGAAATTTTTGTTCCACGTCAGGAGGCCCCCAGGAGGCCGAAATTAGTCCCCACTGGGGCGAGCCAGATGCCCTTCGTTGGTTTATCGCGTAAAAGTCCCGAATTCAATATTGAAATGCCATAGGTAGGAAACTGACCCCTGCACATTCTATGGTGGATTACAGTGATCGCCTCTCTTCTCTGACCTTGATTCAACAGAGCGGCCCACCCTCGCCGCCAGAGCTACTCGAGATCCTTTTCAGCCGATCACAACTGCTGGGCTCAGAGCGCTCTGACATTCTCAGACCAGTCACGGGTAAATCTACGTGACATTAGCAATGTATAAAAAAAATTGTACAGCGTACAATGGACGATTCAACTAAATTTACGTCCCCAACATGATGAAATAATGGTTGTGACGGACTACAGACTATTCTACGCATCAGCATGTTGTTATTAAAAAACAAAAAAAAAACAGCAGCATGCGAATCAATTTTTGCAGAACGGAACGAAAACTAATGGTTGGAAATAGTTGTCAAGTCATTGCATTTCGACAGTGAACGCGCTGCGATAGCGGTAATGCGTACGGCAGAACAGGCATATATGAAATGGTTAATAAAACACATTTTTCGCACTACGGGATAGCGTGCAAACATCATCAACAGGATATAGCACGTATCGCCGTGTGACACAAATCACATAGCATTATAGCCGGCTCTCCTTTTATTTTACAACACAAACCGTTAAACGCGAATTTAGCAAACCAGAACATTCTTTGGAGAGTCCACAAAACCCGGTATGACAGCGACGAGCTTCGGGAGCTGTTTCTTCATCGGTTAGGCTTAGCGTATTCACCACCTTGAGATAAAACACGTTGAGTTTCCTGTCACGGTAACAAGCGAATGTCGTCCCGTATGT